GGTACAGAGAAGGTTCCCGGGGTGAAGCTAAGAAGAAGAGTGGGAAGAAGAGCTTGAAGGAGCTTAGAGAAGAGCGTTTGAAGAGGGAGAAGATTGAGAAAGAAAGGGAAAGAGCCCTTTTCATGAAACAGAGCCAGATCAACGGCGGCTTTTCCAGGAGGTGAGTAAGTGAACTATTTCCCAGTTTCCATGGCTTGGTTATATTGGTGGTTCTAGTTTCAGACACTTTAAGATGGAATCATACCTTATTTGCATGGTAGGTGGCTAAGTTAGACAGTGTAATTGCTCTATTCCTATCCTTTTAGTGTCTACTACTGTAGGTTTATTGAGTAGAGCTTACTTGATGCTTGAATAGAATCATGGTAGATATATCTAAGGATCCAGTTCCTAGACTTTACCATGCTTTGAAGTTTAAAGAAGCATATTGGTATTTCAGCTAGAGCCATGTTGGTGATATTAACTTGTTCGACATTGTGTTGAATAACTGCTTTGTGGTAGTTGAAATCCTATTGGTTCCATCTTGATTAGGCACATCAGATTTATGATCATGATGAGTGTGTGAATTTGTGCAGCATTAATTGTATAGATGGACTTGTTTCGGATTTCAAGTAGCATTTCATATGTTTTAGAGAACAATAGTGCATAACTTGAATAGTAGCTGATATGTGAAACAACGCACTGACTGACTCAAGGATCAGAAGACAAAATCTTTTAACAAGGAAAAGACGAATAAGCTTCTTTCTAATTTCCTCCGATAAGAGTTTCAGCTCAAATGAGTTTGTGAAATTGGTGCAGGCGGTGATTAAATTACAAAGACGACAAAAAGAAGATGAAAGAAGACTTGTTGCAGAGATTAGCACGTAGTTTCTCACATATCAAAAGCCCTCTTTTCATCTATCGAGATGTGTGTATAGATGTTTCAGCAGATAGAGAAAGTGAAATGCCTTTTGTTGATGGAATCCTTTATAGCTTCCCTGCTCAATAAATTAATTATGTGTTCCTTTCAAAATTGATGGTAGCTAATAGTTTAATACGATTCCATTGGGAAATGATGACAATGTAATAACGAGACACCTTAAAGAGTAGAGCATAAATGTTCCCAAAACATTTAGACAAAAAACATCCAAAGTCTGACATAAACTAAAAACTTGGCCCGATCAAAGTTCTAGGGTCCTTAATTAAGATAACATAAAAACGACATAATTCCAAAACAAAAGGCCCAGTGGAATTTTAGCGGCAAGATAAGATGGATGAAATCAAACGGGAGGGATGATCAAGCGAAGGACACCGTTCATGGCGATGGTCTTAATCCGACGGGCAGGAAGGTTGATTGGAGAGGCCAGCATAGCCACGTCACCTAAGTACAAACGGGCAGAAGAGTCGTGGCTAACCGCAGGAGCCTGACCAAAGACAGTGACTCTCCCTTTCTCTACGGACACACTGAACTTGTCTTTAGGCACTCCTGGCATGTCCACACGAACGAACAGACCACCGTTCGGGAGCTGCTTAGACTCGTAAGCCATCTCCGACCCATAGTTCACTGCTGGGTGTGGCTGTAATATCCGACCCGTTAAAGCCGGATCTACACCACCAACACAACACAAGAAATATATTCCCCTTTTTAATTGTACACAACCATCCATACAGATAATATATAATCTCTTGTGTGTGCTTATATAATGATAATGAAGCAGCATTGGAAGAAGAAAAGTGTGAATACCGTGTGGATCCGTGCCATGGGGAAATTTGTGTTTACCCGAGCCACAACCACCTCCACCTACGACCACAAATCACAAATCTTGACTGTGTAAACACTAAAGTTTCTGATTCGTTTTGCCAAAAATATAAAAAAAAAAAGGTTTCTGTATCCGTAATAAATATCATACAAAGCCAGACAAGAATTGAAAGGCAGATGGAATGAAATATTATTTATACCTTGTTGTTCAGGTCCACGAAGAAAAGCTGTCCCAAACAAAAAAAACACAAAATTTAATCAAAATCAATTTTTTTTTTCTTTCCCACAAAAATCACAGAGCTAATTTCGATGATTAATTATAGTATATGTTCAAATGACCGAAGAAGAAAGATTTATATTTACCGATGCAGGAAGGGTGTGGAGAGGGGATTTTGGTCTTGGAGAGGAGAAGGCGAAGAACACCATCGGACATGTGAGAGGTGAAAGAAGAGATCTCACAGCAGTCACAAACAAGTCCGGAGGTTGTGCCGTACTCGCGACGAGAGAAGTCGTGCTTGTGTTCCTTCGGTGCGTCGGCGAACACCATCACCGCTTTCTTCGTCGCGTCGAGGCGAACCCTAACGCCGTCTGGAGTAACTCCGGGAAGATCGAGCCTGATGAACATGTCCTCGTTCTGAAGCATCTTGAACTCAACGAACCCTTTTGGTCCGTTAGCCAGAAACTGGTTGTTCACAGCGTAAAAACCATCTGCAACAACATCAAAAGAAGAAGAACAAAGAACAAGCTGTCCTTTAATCTGAGGAAAACAAATTAAAACAGAAAGAAAATAATGTAAAAATGAGATTTTTATTTT